AAAAATTAGACAAACTCGCAAAAGTGTGCATTTATATCTCAGAAGAATAAAAACCATGAGAGCATATATATTAGTTCATTTCAGGTTGGAATTCATCATGGACTGACATTAGTTAGAGGAACATTGGAAACCTGGTAGCACTGAACAGCTGTTTCGTCTTAGTATGGGCCTCCTCGGCAGCGCGCAGTCAGCACCTCGAGAGATCAAACCCAGTATCTTCAGGTTTAGCGACCAGCCGCTGGATCGAAACCCAATGGTCCATATATATTAGGCTGATACAGGTTACATTAGTGAGCTCGGTTGATAGCTTCGTCATAAGATATTAAGAACTTGCAAAATTCTCATGTGAACACGTTAATACCCTAACCAAATTATCAAATCAATAGGATAAAATACTACTATAAAAATAGACTACAAGACCATGTGCTGCCACATTTTATCGGAAATATCTCGTTGAGTCATTATTTTATGAAAAACATGGACATTATAGTAGAAAATTTAAAACAAATCTAAAAAATAGCAGAATATTACAGAAAGTGTTCGTCATTACCGCGTAGTGTAGAATATTCAGAAATCTCACTTCAGCACAGAAAGATAGGGTAGAAAGATGAGAAATGAATAAGCACGAGAAACACAAATAATAGCCAAGAAAATAATAAAAAGATAGGTAGGACGGACAGAGTGCTTATCAAATGTGACTGGACGATTTGGACAAAAACACTTCGTACATGCATGTGCAACTCAGATGGATTCAAGGCCATATCACCTAGAGTATCAAATAGTCTATCGCAGGTATCAAGTGGATCCAAAACGAAAAGCCCACATCCCCTTATACCGCCCGAACCAAAAGTCAGAGATTTCAAGTTTTAACGTGACCACCACTAACCTTTTTCCTAACTGAGCCGAACCCGCTGCAGCACACACCAGCTCGTTTCTAACCTTTCCCTTGGGTTAGTTAAGGTACTCTTAAAGTAGGCTGGAGATGATGCCATGATATTTCGAGATGAGTGACGTTATCCTGGTCCAATAACTATCTAGCCAGTTCTTCGTTGAAAGTAGTCTTAGTATCTTTATCAATCAGCTATGAAGGAAATGGTCTTCTAGCTGCCACTTCTTACATCCATTTAGACAGACGCACTCATGCCCACACCCACTTGTGATTACTAACCTGTCACATGCTCCAGGAGTTGTAATAATTTCCTAGTAACCCAGTCGTGACAACTGTTAGCAACATGTTAAATCTGTATACACTGTTGAAGAGAAGTCAGTGGAGGGCACATCAGACCACTCACCATAACTGTGGAATTCCAAGTCATTAAAGCATTGTGGCACTACATTAGAAAGTGAGGAATTACACTATCTATCTTCACCCCCACCAACATAGAAACAGTGGCGGATACAGACACAATTTGTTGCCACCTTCCATCTCTAGAGTAGATAGGCACTCTTTTTGGAGCACCTACTTCGAATTCGACCAGGAGCTAGTACGGCTACTTGCAAGTTAACGCCCTAATAGGTGGACGAAAAATGACAGCAGTAAGGACTTCCTCTGCTAGGCTTGAAGATGAGAAAGAGAGAAGGCAGGTAGGTACTGACATTAAAACGACGGTGGTTGTCACACAGATGAAGCCTGGGGTTACATACAGTCTACTGAAGAAATACTAGTAAAGAAACGTGATGATTAACTGCATCTGAAACTTAACATAAACCAAGGGATTCCCACAACTTTGTTCAGACTGCTTTATTCAAGAAGACCCATCTCTGCAATCTTTGACTACAATGACCAGTGAGAGCAGCTTACACGTAAAAAAAAAGTCTTCAAATGACTGCGAGTTGTGAAAGAGATGTAGAAGGCATCAGCATCCTTGCAAAGGATTCTTATTGTGACAACCGAGACGGAATTTGTCTGACTAGTATCGAGCCTAAGATGGTAGGTCCATAATCATCTGATGCCTAAATGTAGCTCTAGGAAACCAGATAGGTTATGAAAGTGATCGGAAGTTCAACTAGGCAGATATCACCGTTTTATACAGCTCAGACCGTTAATAACAGAAGACCAACAAAGAGTGGAAGGAACTCAAATGTAAGCTGACAAACGGTTTACGCAGCGAGTACGAGAAGTGGAGAGGAGCGAAGGTACAAAAGATGCAAAAAGCGATGATGGTAGGTAACAGTAGGCAGTTAATTAAAATGATCAGTAAAGCTAACGCAAGAACGATAACTGTTTGGTGCTCTCCAAGGCTTGTTCTTGGATTTTTCACCATAGGGCTAGGCGACTTTTTTCCAGTGTTTGGTTTAACGATATTGGGGTTGGATGGGTCTACCATTTACTTGCAATTGAAATGCCTGTAACACGTTGAAGAACAATGCAATTAACCTTCAGCTAGCATTCCGTTTCCTGCTGTCTTGTCGAACGCTGAATTGAACACTGAGATAAAACCTTCAACACTTACAGGAGTTAAGGCTTCAAATAACCTGGAACTAGAAAGGGTAGCGGGCATTGCACTAAAGATATTTAAATATGGTGGTCGACGGTTATCGATCAGGTAAGACGGTGCTTTAACTGGCCCATGGAAATGAGGTATGATCTCTCAACGACATCGATCGCTGACTGTCACAGTTTTTTAGGAAAGGAGAAAAATTCACTTGGGATAACAACAGGGTAATCAGTCTGACGAATTCGATATTCTAGATTCTATGGTCATTGGACGGTTTAATGAAACTTGGAAACAACAAAGGTGGGAAAACCAGGCAAGTTCCAGACCTGGTCACAGATGTACAGACCACATCTTCGTACGCAGATAAACTTATCAGTGGCCTACACTAGCTGTGCTTGTTGACTTAAAGGTAACATTCGACTACGTCGATCGGCAGTGTAACCCCCTAACATGGGTTGCGGGTATGTACGTCAATTAATGACTATTGTAAGTAAAAACACTCCCTGTCGTGTTAGAGACTACTGTGTGGGATGATTGAATTGTACACGTCGAGTGGCGTCTGTCAAGGGAATTCGTTCTCTGCGTTTTCGTGATAGATGTTGTGATGGTGTTTCCTCTTTTTTTGCCTTAATTTACATGGATTGATCGTGTCACAGGAGACTCCTCAGTAGGGATAGAGTACGCGGACGATTAAGTCTTTTCAGATGGAAACACTGAGATACCAAGACGTTTGGACACATTAACTTGAGAATACCCTAGATGCGTTTCTGACTACTCAGGTGCAATCTGTTATCACACCACTAGTCTACGTCTCTATCTTGCCTGACAGCATACAGTGAAGCGACCGACCATTTCACTTACTTGGCAAGTTAAATCAGCCCTGATGGGTTGGTGATCCACGAAACCACTGGGGAAATATGGAAGGCTCGATTGGCTTTTGCCAACCTACCTTGTTGTCATAATATTCGGTTGCCTGTTAGAGATCAAGTGTACTGTACAGTAGTTTTACTAAATGGCCGTGAACTATAGCCATTATATGTGGATGACACGCGAAAGATTGAAGTGTCTTCGTGGTATCGGGTGTGTGTTACAGAACCACCGCATTGGTAGCACAGACGTTCGATGTAGAATTTTAGGTAGGAGATCCACGTCAGTTGATTAGTTTTGAACCACCATTGATTGAGATGTCTGGGATGTGTTGCTTATCCCAAGTCATCACCCGTTCCGTCGTGCCATCCAAGCTGCAGTGGGTTCGGCTTAAGTAGGAAAAAGGTTAAAGGCGGTCAGGCTATAACATGAAACCTTTGACTACTGGTTCGGGCAGTATAAACGGATGAGAACGCTTCGCTTAAAGTCCACTTGATACCCGAAATCGGTCATTTGATACTCTAGGTGATAAGTTTGAGAGTCCGTCTCAGGTGCGTGTCAGCTGTCACAAATTTACTGCTGTTTATGTGAGTGCGACTTAGGTTATTGTTACCTTGTCACTAGATCTTTTAGTGTTAATTTGTCGTCACACTACTTTCTTGATTGTTTGTCTGTTTCTCAAGTTTCCATATTCTTTACTGAAGGGCTGATAGGAAATGCTGTAAGTTTTACGGTTACTCAGTAATTGTAGGTTCACTGTCCACGCTGACTGACAGTTGGTACAGATTCACTTCTAAGAAAATGTTTAAGGTTTATGAATTTCATACATGTATGGAAATAGTAGAAATTGTGCTTTTATTAATTATGAAAAATCTATGAATCGAGTGCCAAGAGGAGTTTATTACGTATTTTGCATGCATACATATTCTGCACAAAAGAGAAACTAAAGTACCTCATAATCATTAAAGGACAGTAACTTACACTCAGATCATTATTACAGTCGTTTTATGCGTAATACGATAAAGGTTTTACGCAGATCAATACAAACACATTAGAAAAATGAGAGAAGATAGGGAGAAAATTAACCAGTTTTTTGTCGTGAAAAAAATATTCGCGAAAGTGAAGCCAACAAATACACACAATGCTGTTTTCCATGAGAAATCTGACAGAATAAAAACAGGATACAATAGAAATTCATAGAACTCTAACACAAACGCATGCCTTTTGATATTCATTATACAAATGGTGAAATATTGTCCTAAAATGACCATAAAGACCTAGGGAAAACTGGAGTATTGAGCAGAAAGGAGATAGATATTTACGACATGGTTGAAAAACATAGGAAGATATCACAGACTGATCTGAAGAAGATTACAGACAACAGAATGGTACGAAGGCATCACAAGAGGCGAGATTCAACAATAGACAGGCCCCAAGATATTTTCAAAATTTAAAAAAGTTATGTTACTGAATAAGACGAGTTTGCATTATTTGTGTCATATTTTTTAATAGTTGGATCTGTTAAATGATAACAAAAAAAAACAAGTTTATTCTATACACAGTGCTTGGCAAGGCGTAAATGAAATATCTTCTCATTGCACATAACGTACAAGATAAGAAAGTCGAGCAAAAAGACAAAACATTATGAACATCACGGACCAACAGCTTGTCCTACTGAGAAATAAACATTATTTACTAAGCTTTAGTAAGTTTCACTTTATTTTGAACAGGTAACGGATGTGCCTCAGAGTTGAACACCCATCTATCAAGCGGTAATAAAGTGTCCTCAGAAAATATTAAATAAAGATACTTCAATGTTTCTGCTAAGAAATAGGACTGTTGCACATCATCATGAACCGGTCGAGATGAGTAGACATCTTCAATGCCAGAAAAACCTGCATCTGTACGAGCATAATTATCAAGAGCCTGAAATAATACAAAATTAAGATGAAGAAAGATGAATGGAGTTAAAGCTTACAGATTATACACGACTAGTGAATGATGAAAATCACAATATTAGCTAGCAAGATAACATGAGTTTCCTGAACATTTTAGATGAACCTCGGTGATAAATGACAAAAGGCATGAAACTTAGATCTATGACTTCCCCCACTAACAGACTTCTAATATTTAACACCAAAAACATAGGGTACTGAAGTGTGGTTCCACAAAACACGGTCATGACGTAGGATACCGGACCCATAGACTTCAGCATTTATTTTGAACTCAGCAGTTACATTGGCTACTGTGATGATTTGACATGTTACCCAGTTGGCTTTATAAAGTCATTTTACTTGAAACCTAAATAAATCTCATACAACTTGCTTGCATGTGACAGTTAAGTACGCTAAAATAATCTCTACACTACCATGACTGATATCGCAATTCTACCGGTTTTCTCCTTAAATCCTACCGTGAATGTGAATTTATTATGACTACAGTTGACTGAACTTTGGGAACTGTATAGATTGTACGGGCTACTGGAGTGACTTGGAATTATAATTCTTGTTACTACTGTACTGATTTGAGAGTTATAGTTCTAGTTATTGCAAGTTCCAGTTACGACTGCGTGATTTTTTATGACGTATGTAGTACAATCTACGTCAATTGACTGGTTTTCGCGCATTATATAGTCTTAATGAGGACCGGTTTTATTCACAGTAATCTTTTCGAGATTAAAATTAACAGGAAGGCTTAATATTCATTCATACATCAAACGAAATATGAATTGAAATACACAAAAACAACCGTTAAAATTGATGTGAAGCGTTTTGATATCCTTTCTTCGATTAGGGGGATTGTACAACAAGTTAAAAATAATGCATTATGAATATTTTGCTTTTCTGATAAAATATTTGAATTTTCACTGGCATTTTTTAAACATAAAATTAGAAATATATGGCGTTTAGAAAATCCTGTACGAATGAGTTATTTCACCAACCATTTAGTAGATATATTTCTATCCTTGTCTGTGCCACCGGTTTAAAAATAGGCATGTTCTCTGAACATGAAGACTCAAAAGACTAACTTCGCAGGTAAAATACAGTGATTATTGTTTGTTCATTTCATTCGACAATCTGGTTCAACCTATACTACTGAAATAAAAGCGTTTTGTGCACCCGTTAACCTTCAGAGATTTAGACAAACTGATTGAAAATCATCACAATTACTACATTTGTATGATTACACACACATCCCATATTCTCAGTCTTTTGATTACTAACAAAACCAACGAAGAACCTCCCACACAAGTGCATCGACTCAAGTTGCCACACTTCACAATATCAGACAGAAAATAGGTGGATAGAATATGAAGGATATCAAAGTAGTGTGAGAGAATAAACAATCTGGAGATAACGGTTAGTGGGAATATTCAAGCTGGAGATGTCGAAGAGTGAATAAATCTGCGTCATTGAGACCGATTTTCAGCCATGTCATCAAGAATCCTCAACCACTGATTCCTTACATTTCGGGGATCCCATCCAAACAGGTAAGCTACATCTCCCCCCAAGAGTTAGATCAATAGTAATCATGTAAGTTAAAATTCGATTTACATAATCAGTGAGTGCGAATAACAGATGAGATGAAAAGATGAAAAGAACTAAAATAATGGCAGCTGAAGTTAACCAATTTCATACCGTCTAATTGGAAGTGTTAAACGATTTTCATGGGTCACCGTACAACGTAATTGTAACCTGAACAGCACAGTGACAAGGACTATGATTGCATCACTGAGTGAAGCATATTTGGATCTATTAGGGGCCATCACAGTTGGCTTGAAGTTCCCGACACATACTTCTGACGAATATTAATAAATATACAATAAGGCTCTCCCTTCATTACTTCCAAACATCAAATGCAGCTTATGTAACAAAATGCATACAGATTATGACCTGCTAAACATGTAAACACGATAAATTAAACAGAAGCGTCATAAACACACCCTATTTTCATGCGCATAATGCAGTTTTTTATTATTTCTCTATTCAGTGTCTTAACTTATTTTCTCCCACCCTGTTTTCATAAGTCATTATCACTCAACGCATAATAATGATTCTTTTGATAGTGTCTCTGTAGATTTCCCCTCAGGTTACTAACATGAGGCGTGGCAAATCAGATCGATAAGTTGTTGTGACCCATCCTTTGTTTTTATTTATATGTGCACAAAAAGGCTGCATACATATGAACATACATTAAAATACGTGATGTAATAGAATCTTAAAAGTAATAAATTTAAATATGGTTTTTGAAAGAAAAACAATAGAACAATAGAAAATAACCAGCTTATTTGACTTTAAAAAGGTTATCTATGTTGTATTGCATAATTTAAAGTGTGCTGCTAGATGTGTGCACACTTTGAATAACCAAATATAAAACTGTATTGGAAATGATTTCTTGAAGGACCTCGACACTTGAATCACTATCCACCTTTTTTAGAAATAATTTTTGGTTGAGTTAAATTAAACGGAAAAATAGATAGATAAGTACACCAAATATAAAAACAGTAAAATTAAGGTCAAAATATACCTCAGTTTATACACCTCTGATTTAATGAAAGCAAAACTATTTTTTTGTTTGGCTTTATTATAAACTAAGTATAATCGTAGAATTCAACAGACTGCTGAAACAGGTGTCACTAGAACGGAGACTGCAATATCATTTACCGACATACCATTCTATTTAATGTTCAGTAAGATGATAGTAAACACTGATTAATGTGCATAATGTAATAAGAATATGGGGATTATCTGAGAAATGTGATGTATTGGCGCAATACACTTCAAACAATCTGGTCACACATTTACTTGCAAATGCATACATTTCAAGTTGTTATTCATCGTAGACTGACATCAATTGGAGGAACAAAGGGAACCTGGGAGCACTGGACAGCTGTTTCGTCCTAGTATGGGACTCCTCAGCAGTGCGCACCCACGCCCCCGCCAGGGATCGAGTCAGCGACCTTCAAGTTCCGTGACCAGCACGTTACCACTGAGCCACTGGGTCAGAATCCAATGGTCTATATTTCCAACTTCTGTTAGCTCACGATACAGCGCAACTGCCACCCAATGTCATTGTTGAGTAACTGTCCTCACGACCACTAGGCATGCATATATATAAAGGATGGAAACGGGTAAATAAATTAGGATAAGATATGGAAAATATAGGGACAATAAAGAGGAATAATACATTTTCACACTTACCTCCTCCCTGGCATTAAAATGAGATACAGATTTCCAAGGAGGGTTTAAAGTAAGGACAAATTGTTTGAATATTCGAAAGTTCAAACCAGTTGTGTGTATTTAAAAACAAATTATTCTTGCCTTAAACCGTCCTTGGAAATCTGTATCTCGTTTTAATGCCAAGGGGATGGGGGAGGTGTGAATATGTATTATCCCTCTTTATTATCTTTATATTTTCTAGATCTTGTATTATGTTAATTTATCTACCTTACCCCATCTCATGTTCACCCTTCATATAAAATACCTTGACAAGTGAATGTCTGACCAGATTGTTCGAAGTGTATTGCGCAAATATATCATATCTCTCAGATAACCTCCCTCTTCTTCTTATGCAGAATATGAAGTTTATTTATTTGCATACTTTGCATTTGTCTAGTAGTGGAGGCGTTTTCATCACTTAGTGACATTCATGGTCAAAACTCTTGGAACAATTTCACTTTAATACAGAAATATATGGTTATGATAAAGTAACTTCAGCAGTATAACGGTGACACAGGAAGCCATACGCACAACAAAGACATGTAATATTTTGATGAATTGGCAAATGTTAAAGTTTATCAGTCAAAGAACGTAAGGAAGTTATATTTAATGACTAAAAAGAAGTGTGTTTGACTCCAAAAATTCAACATATTTAGCCTTTGTCATTTAGGTATGGGAATAGCAAAAGTTAAGTGAGCGTTAACGTTGTAATTGGTAAAATAACAGAATGAGTCAAAATTATAACCTATATCGGTTCAAGTCGTAAAAACTTTTAAAACGACAGTCAGAAGTGAGAAGAAACGGTGAAGTGTAGAAAACAAAGCAAAAGAGATGACAAGCGAAAATGAAGAATAAACAGACACATAGATGGTACTGGCTGACGAGAAAAAAGTAGATGAAACCAGAATGTTGCAATAGACTGCAAATCATTCCCTGATATCCTTCAACATACAATCTCTGATCTATCATGGAACTCAAGCGGCACACTTACCGGATAGTGTATAGCATGGTACAGCGATTGATGAGCAGTATGTTTTAGCTGAATAACTATGAGTTCTGATTCATTCTATGCGTATTTCAGTTGGAATAATGGTAGACGGCGATTAAGTACGCAACAACCATCTTTACCAAATCAGATTTGCAACTATATCCCTAGACTTACTTGAGGTATTTAAAATCTTAAACCTGACTTAAAATAGTGGCCTATCTATAATTTCAGCAAATAAAAATGATACTCCGAAGGCATTTGGGAACAAAATACACTATGATTTCTTAGCTTATTGAAGTTGTCAGAAGGATTTAAATATTTTCACAACAGTATCAACGGAAAATCCTAGCATGAATTAAAACAATACATTTAAGAAATTATATATTCTTATATCTTCTGCAACCACAGAATCTTTCTAAGAAAAAAGAGTTTAACTTGCTTAACAATTTCATGCTTTGCTTCCGTATCAATCAGATAGACTCTACAGTTGTAATATAAGAAATAAGCTATAAACTAGTTGAATAGTTAACGGGAAATCCATTATACGCGAAATACTGAAATAAAGGAACCTTAAATATACACAAAATTACACAATTCTTAACACTACCTGGACTACATCCCATGCCCAATTACGGTATTTAGGATCTTTAGTGAGTCGCCATAAATAAAAGTAGGATTCTACTGTTTCTGGTCGAAGAAGATAGTGCTTATGAGATTTGGAAATAGCAATCGCAGAAGATTCTTCCGTAAACGAAAATATTTCTGGACCAAGATCAAGTGATGTAGCATCATAACTTCTTCTACATGTTTCTGTAATCTCATACCACGTTGAAACCATGGATTATTTTTATCAGATGCACCAAGGGCAAGCATTCCACCTGAAGTGTAAATAGTCAACTCATATTACCTAGATCAATCAAAGACAAATTATATTTAGAAAGTAGAAGAAAATATGGAGATGAAAAACCCTTTATATATGGTCGACTTTCTAATGACGGAAAATTTCATGCACAAAACAAGAATTTCTTAGTTTTTCAAAACGTTTTACGCAATTGATTATTATTTGATTTAGCTACTGGTGATTAGAGCACCATTATACCTAACATGGTTTGATTTTCATACATGTAACTTCACTAAACTTCACGAAATACACTGTGTTAGGACGTGAGTAGTAGTCAATTAATTTATCAATGATTGTGAAATGTCACTGAGTTGTTAGCTTGGTAGGCACAAACTGAATATTCGCTTCATGGTTTATGATGAGGTATATAAATTCATTTCTAAGACTATGAGGTAATTCAGCTAACTAGCAGCAAAGCATATAATAATCTGTTTCCTAATAACAGGGTGAAATTCACACTTGAAATGTTGAAATCATTTTAGTGTCTTAGAATTCCTTGGAAAACGCAGTGTAATAATAACGGTCGGAGTGAAATGTTAAAGAAAACACAGAATGAAAATTTAATTGAAGTTGAAACAGACAGTAAAAAAAAATAATAAAAGACACCGTTAATTTTCAATCAAAAGATTGTCAGACGCCTACTCATAAATTGCCTAGTATAACGAAACAATCGAATGTTAGACATTGGAACTATGTAGCCTGTAGGCTATACAATCGTGAACCGCAACCTGTTTAGTGAAGTCATCCACATTAATGGAATCTGTTTATCACAAAACTACAAACAGTAATCAGGAAAACTTAAGTTTTCAGACAAAACTGCAACAGTTACATTGGTTACATTCTCCAACAACCCACAGAGAAGACTTGATTCCTAGCATCTCTTGTATTCCAATAGGTTTGCACATTCTTACACGACTCACAATAACAATAAATGAGCAAAGAGGTCTACGCCATATTTCAACCTAATCTGAAGTAATGAATTAAATTCATTAATAATATGACACCCCCCCAAAAAATGAAGTGCATCCCGATGACATATATATAAATGCGTAGGTTTGAGCAAGCCCTTAAAGATTAAATCTCATGAGTGCTTCGTAGAGGATATGGAAATCCTAAAACATGATGCCAGTTCACGCGGTCAGTGATTGTTGCCGCGAACAGAATGGAGGTACTATAAGTTTAATGGTTAAGCTCCATGATACTCCCAGCGAACAGGTAATGTAGTGAACATAGTCCGTAATCAAACGCAATAACACTAATGGATTAACTTCTTATTTTTTACTTAAGT